ATTGTTAATAATTAGAAACAATATCTGTAGTTAAATATTGCTAAAACAATTTAGTACAATTTACCAACAATCCAATTGTTCATCATCAACTGCTTTATTGTTGATTTATAAATTTATGGCTGAAATGTAAGCAATCAAATAGTATTTCATTTTTTTGTTAATTATTTAGTAAACTTTTGGTACAATTAAATAAATATACCACAAAAATGTTAATAATTAATAACTACAGAAAAAACGTGTTAAACATAACACATCGAAAATGCCTTGAAATGATCAATATTTGTTAGTAAATTGATTGCAATTATAAAACTACCGGTCAATAAATCAATGAAAAATCAAAATGTTTTACATAAGTTACATAACATTAATACAAACCATAAATACAAATAAAAGTTCAGTAGTTTATTGCTTATCAATACCGACACAAATGATACTCAAATATTCATTAATACATTATTTCAAAAGCAAATAAAACTTTTATTTCACATAAAATTCAAAACTAATGTCGCGGAAAAATATTTGTCAATCACTTTTGGCGTTATATAATAATATATTAATGCAAATGAGTTATAAGTATAGTGTTTCTCAATAGTGTTCGCCTCTAATTAGTGAACATTTTGTTTTCACAGACAATTATTTGTTAATTACAGCAAAAAAAGTAAAATTAAAGTTATTATTAAGTAAAACACAGTTAGTAAAACACCCGATGTGATAGATAAGCCCTTTCCCAGACCTTGAACCCATAATGAAATGTGTGAAAAATGTTTTGTATATAAAGGCTCGCCTTATATAACAAATTTCATCAAAAACAAAAAGTAAAACAACAAATTGTTTGTTTAAATCTGAAGTTTGAAGTTTGTTAACAAAACTAAATCATGAAAACTGCTTTAATCCTGAGTTTCGCCACTCTGTTGTGTGCCATAGCGTTAGCCACCGCTCAATACGGCAACGGCAATGGTTACGGACATGGATTTTATGGTTATCCGGGTATGTATTGCTACTAATACTAAGCATTAATCATAATGTAAATATAATTTATTAATAAATGTTTGTTTCAAAAGTACATCACCGCAAATGGGGTTATTCATCAAAAATTAAACATCCCTACGGACACGGATACGGTGGTCACGGGGGCTACGGTGGTTACGGAGGTAATGGCGGTTATGGCGGCGGTTACGGAGGTAATGGCGGTTATGGCGGCGGTTACGGCGGTTATGGTGGGAACAGAGGGTATGGCGGAGGTTATGGCGGACACGGAGGTCATGGAGGAAAGAGCCATTCTTATAGATATGATAGCGAGAATGTTCACCATGGTGGTCATGGTGGCGGTTATGGTGGCGGTTACGGTGGAGGCTATGGCGGTGGTTATGGTGGACGTGGTGGTTTTGGCTCGGGTGGTTTCTTGGGTGGTTTCTAAATTAACTTCTCATCATCGGTACAAACATTGTCCAAAAGTATTGTAAATTATATTGTATTTAATTTGTCATGTATTTTATTATTATGTATTCATTTATGAACTAAATTGTTAGGAATTATATTTTGGGAATTATTTGGGATTTATTTTCTTATTTATTTTAATCAAAACACATTAATTGTATTTTTATTTACTTGTAAATTGTTTTTGTTATTTTATAAATTATTTTTTCACAATAAAACATTTATACCAAAAATACCTCATTTTACGAAATTAATTGTTTTAAAGGTTTTAAAACTAGGATTTTTATTTCAAAAATATTATGTCTAAAGTAATATAATTGTAACTATATTTTGAAATCTAAGCATATTATGTTTGTTTTGTTTTTAATTGTTTTCCTTTCAAATGTTTTCATTGAATAAGTTATTTGTTGCTTATATTGGGTTATAAATAGTATAATAGTTAATACTAAACTTTATATAATATTATATGTAACTAATTATTTGTTACAATAAAATTACTTTTAATATTAAGTTAATTAATTTTATTCCATAACCAGATATTTCTTATAATAAATATTATAAAACTAGTATTAAATAAAAATAAATTCATTAACAAAAATATATTTTATTTATATATTATTTTACATAGAAGAGAATTTATAAATAGATGATTACAAAATTTAAATAAATTAAAATAAAAAAGTATAAAATAAACATGTGTTTAATTATGTTGTTAAAAAAAGTTTCAGTAAAAATTGTAGATAAAAATCCAGTGTTGTGTTAGTAATTAAATGAAGGGATTAGTAGTAATCGTGCGATTAATATGGCATAAAGTGTCGCAAATTTTCAGGCATTAAATGTAAGAAATTGTTTGGAAATTCACTGAAATATAAAGAAAATACAAAAACAATCGGGAATTCACTCAACAAAAAATTACAATAAAAATTAATAAAATCAAAACTCAATATTACTTTCCGAGAAAGTCTAGTCCATCGAAATGTCCAAAACCGTTGTGATATGTCTTGCTATGAGCCCCGCGTCCGATCTGATCGCCATAGTTGTGATTTTTATGTCTGGGCTCGTGTCCGGGGGTGAGTCCCGGGGCCGCACCGAACCCATAGCTACGGCTACTGCTCAGGCCGTGACCGTACGGCTGATGACTGTATGGTTGATGACTGTATCCGTGGCTAAAACCGGGAATACCGTACCCGAAAAAGTCCCCAAATCCCGGTGCGCCGCCATATCCTATGTGTCCGTCGTATACGTGATGTTTGGGCTTTGGCTTTGGGTGTTGGATATATGTAGAATAACCCCATTTCCGACCAACTATGTTGTTTTATAATTACAATTATAGATTTTATGAGATATGCAGATGGTGGTAAATACCTGGGTATCCGTAAAATCCATGTCCACCTCCATGTCCAGCGCCGTAGCCGTGCTTATAGCCGGCCCATACGGATACACACAGAGCTAACAAAATATTAAAAGCGAGTATTATTTTCATATTTTTGTTTTGTTTTTCATATAAAACTTTCTTTAAAACTGAATGAAAACTTTTGACACAAGTTATAAAAATCAAAAATATTTTTGTATAATTTTGTTGTTGAATTTTTTTTAAAATTTTAATAGTGAAAACTCGTTTGTTATTTAATTCAAGCTGTGATTATAAGCCTAAATGTGGATTAAAATAATTATATCTAATTTTGGTTTTATATACAGGTATACAAAACAATAAGTAAATTGTGTTGTATTTGAATTACATATTTTGTGGTACTTCAAGGCCTGAGTAATAAAACACAACAATTTTTATATTATTTGAAATTAAATTCAAAAACTATTATTTAATTTTATTAATTGGCAGAAAAATGTCTGGCATTTGTCGCTAATATACCACAAGATTTTATGATAAAATTGTTGTTGAATAATATGCATATATTTTATTTCAATCATAATTAATTTATTAAATAAAAAATATTATTTCACAAATTATTAAATATATGTTTTGGCATTAATTTTAACCAAATTATGATAAGAAATAATCAATAAAATGTGCGCAAAATATGTACAGTATATAAAAAACTTTGAAATAATGCACAATACAATAAAAAGTGTATTTTTAATGACAGTATTTTGCAAATTATTTTCTGAACTAATGTATCAATTATTACAGGATTATGTTGTCAATAATTGTATTAATTATTTCTCTCTCTCTCTCTCTCTCTCTCTCTACCGTGGCTTTGTATCACTAATTGAATTGATCCGCAAAATAACAATACATACAACAGATCGGATCCATAAATGGCAAACACAAACCCCGCGATCATATTGTGTAGTATATTAGGGGTTATGGCAGTCATCCTCTTAATGATAATCGCATACGTGTTTCGGTCGCAAATCAAGAAATGGTATTTCGAAAACTGTGTCCAAAAATCTGGTCAAAAAACGGGCCCAAAAACGGTTGGACAGCAAAAGAGTGTACAAACGGGTCGGACACGAGTGAGGGTTCCCGGAGACCTATCTGTTGAGGAGGACTCCATTAGTGATCGGGAGCTGTCCATCAAAGCCAATCGCGCGTCAACTGAAGAGTTCATTCCCGGAGCTAACAAAGACCGCAAAAGTACAATACCTGATCCCGTGGGCAATGGCGGCGGCGGTGGCGGACACACCACTGAAGATTAAACCACAAGAATTTATTTATAATCTTTAGATTCTGTTTCTTATTTTTATATTTTGTTTCTTTATTTTCTTCGAACTATTGATTGTGTAGTTATTTGTCTTATAAATAGAAATGCTTATCAAATACTATATAAGTTTGCAAACTATTAAATTCATATTTAAACAAATTTATCACAAATAAACATTCATTTCTTTTAAACAAATTCTGTTTAATATTTATTTTAAGTATCATTTGATCCATACATGACTTTAACTTTTATTATGACACAAAATAACTCCAAATCACACACACTGTCTTAAACCTCTCTAATCTCATCCACCCTTTCCCACTATTTACTACCCCCGGGCTAATCCCTTTTAATCCATACTACTGGCCATAAACAGGAAGCAATAACCCCTAATCCCTTCACACAAACACCAATCAATCTTTTATCCTGTATTCATTCTCAATGTGCTATCAATAAAGTTACATGTACACTTTATATAAATTATTAACTGTAAACCAATTGTGTCCGAACCAATTATTACCGGGTTCAATACCCCGACAAAATGATCTAGCACCTCAGTCGCTAGCAGCTCAACTTAATATAAATTACAGATGTAAGTAAATATTTTGTCCTATTTTAGCAATAATTACCATACAGTAAGTATAATTTTTAGTAATTGTTAGTTTTAATTATTATGTTATGAATAATTTAGGTAAAATAAAACTTCTATTGACATAAGTGTTGTGACAAATACAACGTAAACCTAATGGGAAACCAATAAACAGTATATAATACTATGTGGTAAATGTTATTGATATATCTACACGTGCCAATCCGAGCCCAGCTGTGCTCAACTAAATTATAATGACATTAATTAGTCTGACTTTAAAACTATTAACTATTTCCACGTTTATATTGAGACGAGACACTGAAAACAAACACATTACCAGACATCAGGTCTACCACAAGACCTATGACTTCATAGTGATTGGGTCGGGATCGGCGGGCGGACCCGTGGCCTACCGATTGGCCGCTACACCGGGCGTACGGGTGCTGCTGCTGGAGGCCGGACCCGTCAACTCAGTGGTCAGTGATATACCCATTGAATACGTGACACTATTTCAGTCGGAATACGACTGGAATTACGCCGAAGAGCGACAGCCCGTGGGTCTGGCCTTCAAAGACGGCCGCATCCCAGAGAATAGGGGCCGAGTGTTGGGCGGCTCGTCCTCTATCAACGCCATGATCTATAATAGAGGCCATCGCCAGACGTTTGACGACTGGAGCCGTGAGTTCGGCGCTCAGGGATGGAGTTATCCAGAAGTGTTGCC